AAAAAATAAATTTTAATAACTTTTTTTTTCGTAGCTATGCTACTTCTTTATTTAAGGCAATAATTAGAACTGACATTAATAATTTTGCAATGTTAGTTTGTAGCTGAAATTTTTGGGTGATCGCGTTGCACTGCCACGTGAATGTTGAATGTAGCGTTCTCACGCTGTGGTAGACGCACTGTCAGCAAATTATAATTTGCGCGTGTTTGGCATTGTTGTTGCTGCCGCTTATTTATCGTTAACACCTCCACCCTTAAATTCAAACGTCCTCGTTTGACGTTGTAGTTCTAAATTGACATGGTAAGTTCTCGATTCCTAGAGTTAGGACTGAATCAATATTTGCCCTTGGTTGCGGAATTGGTGTTTCGGTCTGCTCTTCTATTATTGAGTTTACTTTGTGCCTGTGAAGGGTCCTAATGCCAATGAAAACTAATGCTGCAAAAGCTGTTACCATTAGTGTCATATTTGTAGCAAGACTTATTTTGTTTCCTATATCCAATTTATCAATATATTTTGTGTCATTTACATGTAATTCTTTCATCATCTCTAATGAAAGGACTTCTTCAATTTTTCCAAAATTTGCTGTAGGCTGAAGTATTGCTGGTAATGGTTGGTGGTTTAATATTTCGTTGGATATGAAATATTTATTATTGATGTGAATTGTGGCGTTATGATGCCTCACTACATATGTACCGTTTAGTTTAGTTATCTCATTGTCTATGCTTATGTTACCGCTGTACTGGTTAAGCAGGAGGATTCCTTGTGATATTTCTTCTACTGTGGGAATGTGCTGGTTATTGATTAAACTGCAGTTGGCTACACGGCTGTTGAGTAATTTCGGAATGCATGACGTGTTACTTATATTAACAATATCATTGTCTGAACATATAATTAAACTATTGTATGATTTACATTCGCTTTTAATGCCATATATTTTATTTTCATAACATTTTAAAATTTCTTTAAATGGAATTTTATTAATCTTATCTTTTATTTTTATTGCTCTAATTATTATTTTTTTACAATTTTCTTTGAAAGTAGTTGGTAAATTTACAATATAAATGATATTATTGCCATTAGAGGCAATCCTGATTTCAGCAAATTCTAATGCCTCATCGATGTTAATATAAGGAAAATTTTCATTATTTATTACATTTTCAGTTATATTAATTTCAGTATTTGATAAAATATAAGAGTTTACAATATTTGCTTTGGCCCAATGGATGGCATATTCTACATTAATAAGTTCTTCTTTAAGTGCTTGTAATTTAAATTTTAATTCAATGACCAATTGGTTTACAATATTTTCATCATTTTTTATATCTTTCAATATTTCATTTGTTATTTGAGACAATTCATTAATTTTTTTTACATTTAATTTATTAATAATAACTTGATTATTATTATTTTCCAAAACATTATTTAATTTATTTGTTAAAATTTCAAAATCGTGGCGGTCTGGACTGCCAGCTAACCATTTCCATGTGGTGCCAATTATATCAATGGATCTTTTATATCCTTTTTTTATTTTTAATCTAGCCAAATAACTTTTTATATTGTTAGTTTCGAAGGATAGGATGGGGTACAAAGGATGATGGGGTTTTATATTTAACTCGATGGACCTTTCCAAATCATTAATTAATTTTCCGTACTCGATTAAGTCGATTATATGGATAATTTTAAATGATCCAGATTGAATTCTTGCTGATCCTGCATCTATTGTTATCAGTTGTGAGTTGGAATAATCCAGTAACTGTGTGTCAGCATGACACCATACTATAAGTAACCTACGAGAGTAAACAAATTAATTTCTTATTAGATTCTTGTGGACGATTTTTTTTGATTCTGTTACTATTGTGCTATTCCTATTTTCTTTTACAATTTCCTTCTTATATTTTGGAGAAAGTTTAGTGCCTAACCTTTTGTTAATCCTTACAAAAACTTCTTGTCCAATGTTGTAGTTTTTAAATGGCGTTCTATTTTTATTATGGAATGTAAGATTTACTTTCTGTTTTTTCGTCAAATTCCTAATATTTTCTTTTCTATCCATTTCTAATCGTTTCGGATCAGTATTCACTCTTCTACCGAAGAATGCTTCGACCGGTTTTCTTTTCGTGGTTGAATGGATAGAATAGTTGTATTTAAAAACAGAGTTATCTAGCAATTCGGAGAATGATTTGTAGCCATTCTCCGCTTTCAAACAACGCATGACTTCTGTCAGAGTGGAATGAAAACGTTCGACTTGCCCATTAGACGTACTAGTATATGGTGGGGTTCTGTAAATTTGGATGTTGAACTGGTTTTCCAACATGAATGCTATAGACGATGAATTGAGTGATTTTTCGTTATCCATCACAAGTATTTCTGGAACACCAAAAGAAATCAGCATTTGCCGTAAAGGCTCTTTAATATCCTCCGCTGCTCTTGAATTAAGAATTCTAGCTTGCGCATACTTTGAAAATTTATCGATACCAGTAAGTACAACGTTTTTACCTGTAATGAATATGTCAATATGAATAATCTGTCCTGCGAACTGTGGTATTGGAGTTTCCTGAATTAGTGTTTTCTTTGGATTACGTTCATACTTGTTTTCTCTGCAAATCCTACATTGTGAGGTTATTTTCTTTATTTTTGCTGCCATACGTGGAAAGTAAAATTTTTC